CGTATAGCCATAGATCTATGGCATGGACCCTGAAAGGGTTAATGTCATCTTTGCACCATTTATTATATTTTCAGTATATTTTTACAGTAGACCCCCGGATTAAGACATTAATCCAGTCCAGAGAGTGTGTCTTATGCCGAATCTGTCGTAATTTGAATTAATTTTCCTCATAAGAAATAATAGAAATCCAATTAATCTGTTCCAGATACCCAAAAGTATTAAACAAAATAATTTTTTTTACATGAAATGTACATTTCCCTACACAGAAAACAATGAGACATGCAGACTAAATAAATAAAATGACACTTGCCTTTATTGAAGACGTACTGATGAGTGATGAGACGGGAGGAGGGGACAGGATGGAGGTGTACTAGTGTTTGGAAGGGGAGTCCCCTTCCATAAGGACTTCAGGTATCAAGTCCTTATCTGGGGTTACTTCCCTTCTTTGCTTTTTAATGCCACTAGGACCAGCTTCAGAGTCACTGGACCCCTGTCACACAAAATATCTGTCCAGAGAGCTCTGTTTCTGGGATCTCTTTAAGATTTCCCTAAAATGGGACACAACACTGTCATTGTTGATGTTGCCAGCACGGCCTGTAACAGCTGTGTCAGGGTGATGTTCATCCATAAATGTTTGCACATAAGAAAGCAGGAACACTGCAGCAGGCCTGTTGGCCCATACTAGGCAGGTCCTTCACAAACCATCTCACCAACAGAATCATATTTACCCAACCCAATTTTCAATGCTTCCAAGCAATAAGCTTTGATAATTCTATTCACTCACGTGCAAGTCCCAATCTCAAATTGTGTGTGTGGGGAAGTACCTTGTCTGGTATGTGGGGAAGTACCCTGTCTCGTATGTGGGGAAAGTACTCTGGCTGGTGTGTGGGGAAGTACCCTGGCTGGTATGTGGGGAAGTACCCTGGCTGGTATGTGGGGAAGTACTCTGGCTGGTATGTGGGGAAGTACTCTCGCTGGTGTGTGGGGAAGTACCCTGGCTGGTATGTGGGGAAGTACCCTGGCTGGTATGTGGGGAAGCACCCTGGCTGGTATGTGGGGAAATACCCTGGCTGAAAGAATTAAGAGTAAGATGGAGAATAGGATAGCAGATGAACAAGGAGGCTTTAGGAAAGGCAGAGGGTGTGTGGACCAGGTGTTTACAGTGAAACATAAGTGAACAGTATTTAGATAAGGCTAAAGAGGTTTTTGTGGCATTTATGGATTTGGAAAAGGCGTATGACAGGGTGGATAGGGGGGCAATGTGGCAGATGTTGCAGGTGTATGGTGTAAGAGGTAGGTTACTGAAAGCAGTGAAGAGTTTTTACGAGGATAGTGAGGCTCAAGTTCGAGTATGTAGGAAAGAGGGAGATTATTTCCCAGTAAAAGTAGGCCTTAGACAAGGATGTGTGATGTCACCGTGGTTGTTTAATATATTTATAGATGGGGTTGTAAGAAAAGTAAATGCGAGGGTCTTGGCAAGAGGCGTGGAGTTAAAAGATAAAGAATCACACATAAAGTGGGAGTTGTCACAGTTGCTCTTTGCTGATGACACTGTGCTCTTGGCAGATTCTGAAGAGAAGTTGCAGAGGTTGGTGGATGAATTTGGTAGGGTATGCAAAAGAAGAAAATTAAAAGTGAATACAGGAAAGAGTAAGGTTATGAGGATAACAAAAAGATTAGGTGATGAAAGATTGGATATCAGATTGGAGGGAGAGAGTATGGAGGAGGTGAATGTATTCAGATATTTGGGAGTGGACGTGTCAGCAGATGGGCCTATGAAAGATGAGGTGAATCATAGAATTGATGAGGGGAAAAGGGTGAGCGGTGCACTTAGGAGTCTGTGGAGACAAAAAACTTTGTCCTTGGAGGCAAAGAGGGGAATGTATGAGAGTATAGTTTTACCAACGCTCTTGGGTGATGAATGTTGCAGCAAGGAGAAGGCTGGAGGCAGTGGAGATGTCATGTCTGAGGGCAATGTGTGGTGTGAATATAATGCAGAGAATTCGTAGTATGGAAGTTAGGAGGAGGTGCGGGATTCCCAAAACTTTTTTGTCCAGAGGCTGAGGAAGGGTTGCTGAGGTGGTTCGGACATGTAGAGAGAATGGAGCGAAACAGAATGACTTCAAGAGTGTATCAGTCTGTAGTGGAAGGAAGGTGGGTTAGGGATCGGCCTAGGAAAGGTTGAGGGAGGGGTAAAGGGGGTTTTTTGTGTGCGAGGGGCTTGGACTTCCACAGGCATGCGTGAGCGTGTTTGATAGGAGTGAATGGAGACAAATGGTTTTTAATACTTGACGTGCTGTTGGAGTGTGAGCAAAGTAACATTTATGAAGGGATTCAGGGAAACCAGCAGGCCGGACTCGAGTCCTGGAGATGGGAAGTACAGTGCCTGCACTCTGAAGGAAGGGTGTTAATGTTGCAGTTTAAAAACTGTAGTGTAAAGCACCCTTCTGGCAAGACAGTGATGGAGTGAATGATGGTGAAAGTTTTTCTTTTTCGGGCCACCCTGCCTTGGTGGGAATCGGCCAGTGTGTTAATAATAATAAAAAATACCCTGGCTGGTATGTGGGGAAGTACCCTGGTTGGTGTGTGGGGGAAGTACCCTGGCTGGTGTGTGGGGAAGTACCCTGGCTGGTACGTGAGGAAGTACCCTGGCTGGTATGTGGGGAAGTACCCTGGCTGGTGGGTGGAGAAGTACCCTGGCTGGTGTGTGGGGAAGTACCCTGGCTGGTGTGTGGGGAAGTACCCTGGCTGGTGTGTGGGGAAGTACCCTGGCTGGTGCACATAAGAAAGTAGGAACACTGCAGCAGACCTGTTAGCTCATACTACCACCCTCACTACCACCCTCTACCACCATCACTTTTGTATCTTTCTACAAACTTTTTCTTGAATTCTATTGCATTTCTCACCCTCTTTACCAAAGTGCTAGCACTAGAAGCTTTCTTTGGGCCCTTGGTGGCTTATTTAGCAGTTACAGCACTAAAAACAATGGAATAATACAAAAATGTATCGCATGTACATGTGGAATCATCCTCACTGGCTTGTAAACAATGGCACACTGGCTATACATGAAGTGTTCGGGCTGCTCATGCCGCGCAGACACATTCGGGACTAATGATTTGTCATTAACCAAACCAATATTTTAATGCAAAAACATTACTTAATCCGAATTTTATGTAATCTGATGGCGTCGTAATCCGGGGGTCCACTGTAAATGTTTATACAGTAGTGTACTGTATGCTGTACTGAGTGTATATAGTACACTGATTGTATTATATACAGTATACTGACTGTTTACCTGGAGTTTACCTGGAGAGAGTTTCGGGGTCAACTGACTGGTCGGAGAGCTGGTCATAAGTCCGCACCGTTGTTAAGTGAGGAGCGTCTGTACTTCCATTAGCACTCTTCACCACTCTTACAAACTCTACCTCCATTATACTTTCCACCCTCACTAGTCTCACCCTACCCCTGCAGCACTGTATGACCCTTGTGAGTTTAATGCTTAGTTTTGATAATAATAATAAGGCTCTATTAGTGAAACTGCATATACGTAGCTTCTAGGGAAAGACAGGTTAACACCATATTTCTCACTGACCCATGCCACTAAAATGCCAGGCTCAATCTTTCTTATTAAAGTTTTTACTTAACACTGAGAACCATGTTTTCTCTTGGTACCACCACTTGCTTTAGAAGCCATTGTTAATTGCACATTCAATCCAGTACCCAGGGTTATAAAATTGGAAAAAGAATGATGACTGTGTGTGTGTGTGTGTGTGTGTGTGTGTGTGTGTGTGCACTTGTGTGCATGTGTGTGCACTTGTGTGTGCTTGTGTGTGCACGTATGTGTGCGTGTGTGTGCATGTGTGTGCGTGTGTGTGCATGTGTGTGCATGTGTGTGCATGTGTGTGCATGTGTGTGCATGTGTGCGTGTGTGTGCATGTGTGCACGTGTGTGTGCACGTGTGTGTGCGCGTGTGTGCGCATAAATGGTAAAACTGATGCAGGTGGCCTATAGCACAGGGACCAAAGTAAACAAGACAGGTCCTGAATGTGGCCGCTTTGGTCTGTGCCGAACAAATGTCTGAGTCATTGGACTATGCCCAATACTTAAGACACCTGAACACCATTGCTATAGACAGAATCAGAAATTGTGGACTTTCCCCCCACATACTGTCAGATATGTCCAACATCTGTCCAGCCAATTTTGTCTGAAATCCATTATCAATAGGTTTTACTGTACTGGGAGCCAGTCAGTAGCCCACTCCAGATCTGTTAGATACAGCCTCCCACATTGTTGGTACAGCATTACTTTTTTTTTGTTATTACTTTAGTATGTTTTGTATAATTTAGTGAGGAAGTGTTTCATTTTTGACATGTACAGTGTGTCGACTGACAGACTTGGTCATTAATCCTTACCATATTCATGAAATAACTAGTAGAAGTTATTTTAGTAATTTACCTAGCAGAATAGTAAAAAAAAAAAAAAAAAAAAAAAAAAAAAAAAAAAAAAAAAAAAATGAAAATGAAAATTGGTGGTGTCTGGAACATAACCCTATTTTAACACAGTGTTCTTCACATAAAGCTCATTTCCATAAGGTGCCAATATTAAGGAACATATGCAAAAGGTTACACGATAGTTTACTGTACTGTATATTCCACAGAGTGAGGCATAGCAGAATGCCACTAGTATAGGTTCCAGAATCAAGCTGGGGACATAGCAAGGGGTCACATTGTGTGTGGGCATCTGTCCATGCAGGAAGGACTACAATTCCAATTCCTTACATCAACTGGCCTCTTAGTGCAAATGTCAATTTCATACACACGGTTTTTGGCAAAGTTTTCTGACGTGCATTAGGCTAGGTCGTACGTTATTTACTAGAGAGTTCACTCAAGTCCTGGTTTCACACATTTACATGACACATTATAACTTTTTTTTTTCCTAAAAGGCCATCATATACTAAAATTCTAATGTTAAACAAAAATATTATTCATTAACAAACTTACTACTAACCTCTCCAGTTATGGCATGATGAGTATGGAACTTCACAACATCCAAAAGGGATTGCTTCTGATCTGGACTAAGGTCCTCTTTGTAGCGCTGCACAAATGTTAGTAATGACTGGTGCCATAAAACAGGTAGGCCCCGGCGATCATGCTCAAACCTAATGAAATCAAAGGCAAGTATTTCCATGATGAAGAAATGAACAACAAAGTACACTCCTAGGTAGGTTAACAAATATATGCCATGGTATTTAGGAAGCTAAAGTTGCAGTCAAATAAGCATCTACAGATCAGATTGGTGTAACTTTTTTTTTATTATCATATTACCCATTGTCTCCATGGGGAAGTGGAACAGAATTCTTCTTCCGTAAGCCATGCGTGTCATAAGAGGCGACTAAAACGCCGGGAGCAAGGGGCTAGTAACCCCTTATCCTGTATACATTACTAAAGTTGAAAAGAGAAATTTTTTCTCTTTGGGCCCCCCCTGTTTGGGTGGGATACAGCCAGTTTGTTGAAAGAAAAAGATTAGCCATTGTCTACCAAAGTAGAGTGACCCAAAGGAGACATAAACCATCACTTGCCTGAAGTGTAGACACTACAACTCAAATGACATACTCTACATATAAGGTTAATATTTTTTTTTTCCTTCAACACATCAGCTGTCTCCCACCAAGGTAGGATGACCCAAAAAAGAAAGAACACTTTTACCATCATTCACACAATCACTGTGCTTAGATACAACAGTTTAGATGTCACCTCCAAACAGTATTTTTTAGATATTAACTCTGGATGTGCTGTACAATTCATCGAACCATAAAAACAAATTAGTACAACTTACTTGAGAAAATGATAGACACAGCCATCAATTACTCTATAGGGTAGGGCATACTGCTTATCAAAGAATATTCTTAAGAATATTGAATTTGGTCCCCGTTATAATCCATCTCTGCAATTTTGAGGATGGCTGCAGCAGAATGAAGTATTGGTATGCGATTCTTGGCAAGCACAGACCCTACTATCACAGCCTCACGTAGAGTACAGTTGCCAGACTATAAGTAAATAAATTAAAATCAGTTATCTACATCTATCCTTCAATTTTTTTTTTCCTCAATACTTATAAAGCAATCAAATTGAAAGCTGTATGACCCTGGTGGTTTAGCACTTAGTTCTGATTACAATAATTCCAATGGAAAATCATAGGTATCCATGAGATGATGTTCTGTTCAACAATAAAAAAGGAGAAAATATAAGAAAATAAGTAGGAAAAGACAATAAAATAAGATTACCTTCTGAAGGTAATACCTGTATGTACTCAATTCTTGGAACTAAAGATTAACAAGATTATACCAATTCTTGAATTAGGAAGTTTTGCATTAAGTCCAGCAAGCAGGTTTTTACATTATGAAAGTTCATTATAAATGTCACTCACCATGCATAGAGGTAACAAAACACCCTTGAAGAAAGCAGCTGGCTTAAAAAGGGCTTTATACAATGATTGATAAAGATGAAAGTTGAGCCGCTTGTAGAAAGATATATCATCACGAATTCGTGGTAAGAGAACTAAGTTGAAGAACCGCTGAGCCATTGCTTCCTTAAAGTTCTGG